GTCAAAGTGCCATATTGGAATAGTACAAGTTCTTTGTTTTTATTAATAATAATGCTATAGAAAAAAAACTACAAGTGTGGTAGATTTCCATTTTACGTTATAATTAAACCAACGAGAGAAAAAAAAGGTATATATATATATAAGTTATTGACATAACATGTTTTTTTATAACGCTAGTGTTAAGTTCCAGGATTTTGTATGGACCACTAATAATAATTGGTTTAACGTTAGCATAGCTGTGATATTCATATTAGTTCAATGTTGTGATTACTTAACAGTTCCCTTACAAGTTGTGTTTAAAATTAGGTATGTGGAATCAATGCGGCTAACATAGTAACCTTACAGTAACGCACTGTACTATATCTTCACGGTTATTGATTCTTAAATGTCAGAAATTTTAAAAAAAAATTTGAATATTGCCAATAATGATGGGTTATATGATCACACTAAAAAGCATGCTGTAGGAAAACTGGTTAAGTCATTATGTAAGTTTCCTAAACATGAAAAAAAAATGATGAGAACTTTAATAAGTATTTGACCATGGTTTAATCCAAAATTTTTTGTCTAGAAAACCACTTATTAATAGTAGTATTAAGCGTATCAAGCTACTGAACACATCTTCGACCGAAAACTTTTAGAATTAGTTCATATGGTATATATGTATAGCCAGTCTATGTGAAAAATGTATATAGATATATAAGAAGTACAGCCAACATAGTTAATTAACCAGAGAAAGAAATTATAAAACTCGCCTGGGTTGCTTTTTGAATTCGTTGTATTTGCCAGTGTTAGTTGTATGAGTTTGATTAAAATCCGCAGCCATCGTTTCGGAATACCTAGCTTATGTGTCCAGTATTTAAAAAAAATTTAACATAACACTTATATATCAAAGGCAAAAGGTCTGGGGAGTTGTAGGTGAGGCGGAATGGGGAGAAAAGTTATTTTTAAATAGATGAAGGGTCTGATTAGCTACGTGGTTAGATTTTATCCTGCAGCTGAAACTGTCAACATCCTTGATTGGCTAATCGGATGTGCCCAGCGAACCGTTTTAGTCATTTGTAAAGATTTATCGTTTTTGCATTTCGATTCCGTAATGGATTTGTCAGTTAAACGATCTAACAACACGTATGGTGGTTCATGATCTAGATAAGCCGGCTTTAGCCTATCAATACTTACTGTGTCGATGTTTCCATGTTTTTCTATCACGAAATATTTAGATTTTCTTGAGACGACTTTGAAAGGACCTTCAAATGGAGGGCTAAGTGGTGCTTTTATTTTGTCACATCTTATCCAGACGTGCGTGCAATTGCTTAGGTCTTTAGGTACATATACGGCACGCGATTGTTCGCGAGTATTAATTGGCTTAAGTTTGGACATATGGTCCCGTAGTTGATCTACGTAGTTTCCTAAATTAAGTTTTTGACTGTTAGTATTGGGGTTAATAAATTCACCTGGTAGTCTCAGAGTTGTTCCGAAAACCAGTTCCGCAGCTGAACACTGTGCGTCAGTTTTGACAGATGTTCGTATTCCCAACATAACTAATGGTAGGAATTCTGTCCACTGATTGGGGTTTGAGTGAGATATAAGGGCGGTTTTTAGCTGACGGTGAAAACGTTCTACCATCCCATTAGCCTGAGGATGATATGCAGTGCAGCGTATCCTATTGGAGCCTAGAAGTTTAGCCAAGTTATTAAATAGTTCGGATTCGAATTGCGCTCCTCTATCCGTCGTTATTGTTATGGGTGTACCAAAAATGGTTACCCAGTTCTGCATGAAAACTTTGGCTACTGTTTCCGCTGTGATGTCCGCTATCGGGATGGCTATAGGGAATCTGGTAAATCGATCTATGCATGTAAAAAGATAATTAAAACCGTTTGAACGAGGTAAAGGACCTACCAAGTCGATATGCACATGGGCAAAACGTGCATCTGGTTGCGAGAAAACACCTATGGGTGAATTTGTGTGACGATTAATCTTTGATTGTTGACATGCTGAACACTCTCTAACCCATTTGTGTACATCCTTCTGTAAATTCGGCCATATATATCTGGCATTGATTAGTTTTGTTGAAGCTTTCGCGCCAGGATGAGACAAAGAATGAAAGTTATTATATATCAACTTTCGCATATTTTTGGGAACGAAAGGTCGCGGCATTGCCTTGGTCGTGTCACAATAAATTAGAATACCATCGATAGGTGATGGGAATTGTTTTAAATTAAGACTTGAATTGTTTGTTTTAAGTAGGTTTTGCAATTCTAGGTCCTGCTCTTGTTCGTGTCTTAACGTCTCGAAGTTTACTGTAGACTGCTGTAGCACGTTCATTTCTAGTCTGGATAAAGCATCTGCCGCCTGATTGTCCTGACCTTTGACATGTCGGATATCGCTTGTGAACTGTGATACATAGTCAAGGTGTCGGACTTCTCGAGGTGAGTATTTATCGGCTCTCGCTTTCAATGCATTCGTCAGTGGTTTATGATCCGTAAAGACTATAAATTCCCTACCTTCTAACATGTGTCGGAAGTGTTTAATGGTCAGGTAGATTGCAAGAAGTTCTCGCCCGAAGGTAGAATACCTTGTTTCGGCTGGAGCGAGTCTTTTCGAGAAAAAAGCAATTGGTTTCCAGGCGTTTTTAACCAGTTGGTTAAGGGTACCGCCTACTGCTTTATCTGAAGCATCCACCATCAAAGCAAGTGGGGAAAGAGAATTCGGATATATCAACGTAGTTGCTTGAGCCAGTTTATCTTTAAGCTGTTTAATAGCTTCGATGGCGTCAGAAGACAGTTTGAATTCTTTTGGTTTTCCTTTAAGTGAATCTGTCAAAGGTTGCATTAATTGTGCACAACCTGGTATGAATCTGCGATAGAAGTTAATTAGGCCTAGAAAACTTCTCAGTTGTGTTAGAGAACTAGGTACGGGGTATTGTTTGATAGTATCCACTTCTTTTTTTATAGGTTTAATCCCTTCTGGGCTTATTGTGTGACCGAAAAATTCTAAAGTTTGAACACCGAAAACACACTTTGATGTATGTTTATTCCATGTTCATCCAGTCTTTTCAACACTGCTTGTATATGCTGTTCGTGTGATTGCAAATCGGGGCTGGCAATTAACAAGTCGTCTATATACCCCTGCGCAAATGGCATATCTCGAAGTAGGTTATCTATGAATCTTTGAAATGTCTGTGCCGCATTTCTCAGGCCGAATGGCATGCGTACAAACTCGAATAAGCCAAAGGGTGTAGTAATAGCTGTCTTGGGAATATCTTCATCAGCCACTGGGATATTGTGATATGCCCTGACTAAGTCAATTTTAGTGAATATGTTCATACTCTGTAAACCGTTGGTGAAATCTTGGATATGAGGTATTGGGTACCTATCAGGTACGGTTTGACGGTTTAGGGCTCACCAGTTTCGTGCCTTAAGGTAACCCTCGTGCTATTGATAGAAGAAACCAGAGAAGTAGTGAATAGGTCTTTATTTCGATCTTCGCGCAGTCACAGTGGAGCGTGGGATTATCTGTTCAGACAAACAAAGGCTCTCAACATTCAAGATAATAGGGAATATAACGCTTATGAAAAATAAGGAAGTGAATGAATACTTGAACAATACTGTTTTGGTATAAGCTTGGTTGTTTGGGGTCAACTCTTAACCAACCTACCTGAGCTGTTACAGATTCACTAAGACATTATCTAGCTTGAGAGAAGGTAAAGTTTACTCATATCTTAAAAAGCCAAACACTGGTGAACCGACAACTAACACCTTGAGTTTATTCACCAGATATGTATGATTGATCCTACTGAAGGCTTTTGGGAAATCGATGTTTATCACGTCTACCTACCTCATGCAACCGTAAGTGGTAATGCAATCAACAGACTGGTAATATAGAAAAAGTCCCACGGCTCCTCTCCTATAATTAAGTTTGTTTATGGGTATTATTACCAAGCTCTGTAATTAACTTATTTAACAGAGTGTTACTCGAACAACAAGGATTTGTCTATAACTTTGTGCCACTATTATTACTACCATACTTGTATGAACGTGTGTGCTTGATCATATGTGACAGCCTACACCCATATCCCAATCTCCGGCTTAAATGTTAGTTCAACCATATCAGGAGCGAAGCAGTTACTCTCCGAAAGCAATGGGGGATAGTCGTACAATGTCGTGGATCGTTCTGAGTCAGAAATTAGCACTGTCGGACGTCGGCTCAGAGATTTAGAGGTTGAAAATCCGTGCTCGAGGCTAAAAGCCACGAATTCGAGTCTCCCTTGAGAGTTCATGAATCCGTACTGCTGATGGCTTCTACAACAGGACAAAAAGGTCGTACAGTGCTTCCAGGTTCTCAATGGTGGTCTACCATTGATCGGTTATTGGTTTCTATCAAATAGTAGTTGCCTAAAAATCGCTCGATAAATCGATCGGTCCCCAAGATATATGTGCTTGAATCTTACTGATTCATTCGACTCTCAATTCGCCTCTGTATTTACTTGTCCTCGTGTATAAGTTTTTCGGTCCAAGTTCACTTGGTATGCTTTTAGCCTAGAAATCTGAGTTATTTAATAATATATTTAATAATGGTTATCAGGGTGATCAATATATGGAGCCAAGCCATTACAGGCCTTCCGGAATCCATGTTGTTAGTGTGAGATAAGTTTGTAGATAACAAGCAGGGGCTTAATCTGTTGGTGATACGCACTAAGGTGGACTCTAGTCAAGTATTAGAGCTCGCTACCGTCTGAAGTGATTCAAGCGACTTTGTTGGAATCCTTTAAGAGGAAACTTGATACATCCCGAGGGACTCAGGACAGGATTTCAGATTACCTTTCTAATACTTCTCTTCTGTTCGCTTCAAAACTAGTCTTCTGTCTGAAGGCATCGATAATCCATTGCTACTAGAGAAGAAAGTTCATAAAGCGGAGACTTCTGTTCTGTCCGCGACCACTTGTTTCATTTCAGCCTTTAAGGTGAAATCCATCTTTTCAAGGTTGTTCTTCAAATCTGACATTTTAAATTTATCAGTTGTTGTCGTTATAATCAGGTAGAATTGTACTTAATTTGCAAATATACAAAGATTATTGTCTTGATAGTGATGTTAAAAACAAATGTCTTCATCCAAAATCAAAATGTGTTAATTTTACTTCTTGAAACTAGGTAAAAATACTACCTTTCCATTAATAATTAACTAGCGGGTGACATTTAAGTTCGTTGCGTGGTAAAAATCTTCAAAACCCCAAAATCTTAATTCCGAGTGCTTGCTCAAAGTGTTGATTTTAGTTTGCTTGATCACTGAGCTTTGGATGATAACGAGAGTCTAACTCTTTTCATGAGCATAAAGTATACAGTTGAGCGGCCTCGGTTCCGCTTTCTTTATTTCATCAGTATACTTTATGCCAATTGTCTTGATGGTAAGAGCTTCTCATCCAATTCAACTTCTCGTAGGGTATTTTGGCACATGAATTTTCAATCACTCACTAAGAAAATGTGTCCTCGTATATCCTCTGTTCTAGAGATCGAAAAGGTTAGTTTAGATGCAGAATTATCATTAAGCAATTTTAGGGTCGCGGCTTAGCGATAAGTTGTTCCTTTATACGACGAAAGAAACAGACTAAGGTCAGCTGGTCTCTAATCACACGATAGCTCCGAGACGCCAAGAATTAAGTTAGCTGGGGTTCGCTGAACCTTTTACAACAAATGAATGTCCTTTTCTAAATAGAGGCCGGGAGCACACGCTCATTATTTGAGGTTTGGTTGAATAAAATCTTTATAAAAAACCATAAATGTTTTAACACATGCTTGGATTAAGGGTTTGTGTACTGATCGAAAGGTTATGAGATAATTTGCTGGTATGCAAGAGTGGCTTTCAGGTCCTGAATGACTATTGCTACTCAGTCATTGTATGGTTAGACAATGTACAACCTAAGATAATTCATCGCGTATTTGTCTGTGTCTTGGTGATCAGTTTGCATCATAACACACTTGTAAGCAATATACGACGATTTGTGAGTGACATAGTTTTCAGATTCACGTGAAGTCCTAAAATTTTCATTTTGTTTCATATCGATCCTGGTATTTTTGTATAGTTAGCATTTAACGAGACCGAGACTAGAAAGTTAGTTTACACTCAATAAGAAAATCACTGCTCCCAAAACGCCTCATAATGAAATCTGAGATTATTTGGAAGCTACGAGGTCGACGCACTTTCTAATAATCAGATCCACAAACACACACACAAAGCCACACCGATTTCACTGGCCAACAGAGAAAGAATCAGATCATATTTACACCAGTAAAAACCTCTTGAGATCAATGGAAGACGTGAGGACCAGTGGAAGAGCCGACAGAGTTTTGACGACTACCTGGTGGTTGTCAAGATGAAACAAAAGATAAAGAAGCAATGGACAACTAAAAAAACTGCACTACAAACGCTAAATACAGCCTTCCTTCGACATACAAACTCAACGAATTCAACATAACTTTCGACAACAGGTTGCAGGTCTTACAAGATCTACTGAAAGAAGAAGAAACTACGATGGAGGACGACAAATGAAGAATGAGAAAGCATCAGAACTCGACAATATACCAGGTGAAGCTCTGAACTCACGCATTGAAGTAACTGCAAATATGCTCCACGTTCTATTCAAGAAGATTTCGGAGAAGGGAGAAGTTCCAACAGAGTGGAATGAAGGATATCTCATCAAGATACTAAAGGAAAGAAATCTGAGCAAATGTGAAAACTACGGATGCATAACTCTGCTGTCAGTACCAGAAGAGGTTTTAACAGAGTGTTGTTGAACCGGATGAAAGATTCAGTTAACGCACACCTTTGAGATTAACATGCTGGATTTTGTAAGGATTGGCCGTGCACAGACCAAATCACGACACTATTTTTGATTAATCAATTGAACTCGTCACTATACATCAACTTCGTTGACTATGAGAAGAAGTTTAACAGTGTGGATAGGAAGACTTTATGGAACACTCTTTGACACCATGGTGCATCTGAGAAAATCGTCAACACCACCCGAAATTCATACGACAGACTACACTGCAAATTTGTGAATGAAGGACAGCTGACAGATCCATTCCAAGTGAGAACCGGAGTCAAACAAGGCTGCTTACTCTCTTTCTTTCTCTTTCTTTTAATGGTTGACTGAATTATGAAGATCCTGACATCTAAGGGGAAGCACAGAACACAACGGACAGCTTGTATGCAACTAGACGATTTGGACTTTGAAGATGGCGTAGCCCTTCTATCCCACACACACGAATAGATGCAAGTGAAAGCAGCTAGTGTAGCAGAAACCTCTGCAGCAGTGGGGCTCCACATACACAAGGGAAAAAGCGAGATCTTGAAATATAACACAAAGAACACCTACCCAATCATACTTGATGGAGAAACGCTGGAAGAGGTGGAAATTTTTATGTACTCGGGCATCATCATCGATGAACAAGGAGGATCTGATGCAGACGTAAAGGCGAGGACTGGCAAAGCAAGAACAACACTTTTATAATTGATGAACATATGGAACTAGAAGAATCGGTTAACCAATATCAAAGTCACAATCTCCAATGCAAATGTCAAGACATTTCTACGGTACGGAGTTGAAACTTCGGGAACTACCACAACCATCATCAAAATGGTTCAAGTACTTATAAACAGCTGTCTACACAAGATGCTCAATGGCTGTTGGCTGAAAACCATCAGCAACAGACTACTGTGAGTGAGAACAAACCAGCTTCCAAGTGTAAATGAAATTAAGAAAAGATATTCAAGTTGGATAGAACACATTGAGAAAATCATCAGACTGCGCCACAAAGCAAGCACTAATATGGACTCCTGAAGGAAAACGGAAAAGAATAAGATCAAAGAACATACTGTGTCTGGAATTGGAAACAGACATTCAACGGATGAATAGCAGCTGGAGACAGCTAAAAAGGATTGTTTAGGGCGGAATTAAATAGAGAATACTGGTGGGTGGTCTATACTCCTCCATGAGGGTTAAGAGGCATAAGTAAGTATTATTAACAACAGGTTACATAAATTCTTTTCGATTGATTGTGCACTAATCTTTGCAGTAGTTGGGAACCATATAAAGTGGAACTCTATGATTGTACAAAAATAGATTACTTTATTAATGTTCTACAAAACATATTTGTAGGACATCTTACTAATAAAATCAGTGGTGTGGACAACTGAAAGCAATAAATAAAAAAATAAAACTACCCCCCGATATTTCTCATTCCTATTTGGCAAAATTTACCGAGGAAATTAATTATGTCCAAATCCATATGCTTGAACTACTGTGAAATGTAGAGTATTGAACCGATGAACATAATTGCTATATCTTACCTCATTTATAAGTGACTAAATTATCTGATTTCTTTTTGAACATGTTTGTTAATGGCAAATATTTATGCCTATTTTTTAAAGCAGTAAACAATCAACTGAAGTAAAGTACTAATTGTTCTACCTCAGTGTCTTACCCAATAAAATTTAAACTTTGCTAATATTAACAAAATATACTTCGTGGAACTAAAAATTGTTTATTTTCTTGTTTTTCCCTTTTTCAGACAAACCCCGTACTCAACATTAATAAACATATTTTTTTAGGATAATAGGTCAAATAAAATGTCAGGGTATCAAGGTATGTTTGCTAAGCATAAAAGTTCTGTCCAATAAATACACAAACTCTAGTAACAAAGCTTTATTTTACAAAAAAAATTAAGCTACATCAACACAATCTAATTCTGTACTTCTCTCTTTTTCGGCAACAGACCTCTCAATCGCTAAAAACATTCGAAGAAGTCTTTGAGTGCTGTTGTTTCATATTTTACTAAAATAGTGTGAGGAAACAAATTTTTCAAACTTAACTCATCCAGGCAGTAAAGTGGTGACCATTTGACACAAGTAATCATAGATGCATGATGTTTCAAACAATACAAGAGATTGATGTCTGTTCACAATCAATAGTATTACTATTTATTAAGGTTTGTTTGTTGATGTTAAGAACTGGAATTGATTTGTTTTATTTTGTTGCTGTGCACATAAGCAGATTGCCTCAATATTGCCATTTAGTCACAAGACTTGACAAACTTTTAGCTAACAGTGGTTAACATCGACAATCAAATGATATAAACATCTATAATTAAAAAATTATACCCGTTACACAAACTAGTATATATCTAGACTCAGTAGTTCAGTGGAAAATACTTTGTAATTTTGAAGCGAAAATTGCTAGGTTCGAATCACAGTGTAAATATCAGAGCTGGAATACGGGCTCAATTACCTGAAAGGTCCTAAACAGGACTATATGGATGCCTTGGATTCTACTGTTAGTCACTATTTAACTTTAACAATATTTTTTGTCTACCAAATTTTCAATATTTATTGAACAGATTATGTAATCACTTGATATTTCATCATTTTCATTTTTATTTCGATTTCTCCTTACTCTCTTCTCTCTCCTTTCTTCTTTATATATATATATATCTATTTAACAGATGACATTGATGATAAAGAACAAGGAAATATTCAATCATCAGCTTCTGTGCTTTCAGATATAAGTATATTAAATATAGCTAAAGCATTAACTGAAAATGATATGAGAGTATTTTTATTATTAAATATACCATTAACAACATGTATTAATAATTATGAAGAAATGCGTACATTTAATCAACGTGAAGCAGCATTTAGTCAAAAAACATTAATGTATTGGAAAAAATTACGTGAAACAGTTAAAGATGATATAAAAATAGCTGAATTAGAATATGCTTTAAGACAATCTGATCATAAAGAATTAGCTGATATATTGGTTGAAAGAAATCGTATGAATTTAGAAATTACACGAGATTTATTACAGAAATAAACTGCTTCAAGAAGGTTTTCTTTTAATGCTGATATATATAAATTACAACTATATCGGTGTTTCCTTCCATTTCATAACACACATTCCACCAACTTATATATATATATATATTGATATAAAAGGTAATATGTGTTGGTTTTGTTCTGTTTGAAGTTGATGATTTCATTATGGAATATTGAAATAACTTGTATGTTATTTTATATAATTGTAAACTGTTTGTACAAGGACTTTTGTATGTTTTTATAGTATGTGAATAATATAAGTATTTCAAAATACGAATTTTCGATAAACTAACTTGCATATTTTCCAGAGTTTAGATAGTTAGAGAGGTAATTGTCAGAAGGCCATTATTGTTTTTATTGTATTCTGTCTCTTTCCATCATAATGGGCTCCCTTATCATCATTATCATTTGCTTGTTTGTATTTTAACTTAAGTTAATATGAATAAACTATGTAAGTTAGTGAAATCATATTGATCAGTAGATGCAAGAAAAGTATCACTCAATTGTCATTAAATAATCAGTTTTAATTGTTTATTATTACCTTGAAAACATGATTTTTCAGGAGATAGAAGAGGGAAATATCGTACAGAATTTTATTTCATGAGATTGATGAATTACAAACTAATTGTGACAGTGTCTTGAATTCAAATTACATATGGATTATAAGTTTACCTGCAAGATTGTAAATCAAAATGTATAAGCGAATTACAACTATTAGGAATTTTAGTCTTAGAGTTTTCAGTGAACTGCTTACCTATACAACTAATACCAAACATTTAGTGAATAGTATATCGAGTCAATTAAACTAATGGTCGAGTTGTGATGAGATTGATAAAAATCGATCAGCTCTACTGGTTAAAAAAACCTAACATTACTGAATTAAAGTCTTTGCCCTCAAGAGTAAAGACAAGTGATAGGATACAACGAATTAAGAATTCCATTTGGTTCTCAAACTTCAGTAAGATCTATTTGAAAAACAGGAGGAATCAATGCTGTTCTAAAATTTTAAACAGTTGTCATTTAATATTACTTTAACACACATTACTGCTCACCTATGTGAATAAAATTGGCTTTTTGTAGGACAAAAATATATATGCCAAACGGTCACTCAATGGTAACCAGTCATATCTACTGATCGGCACTAATAGAATTAAGCCCATAGTATTTGCACTGTAGCATATGAACAAAGTTACTGGGACTTAAGATGAATCTTATATACTGTTAGACGGCTGACATTATCCAGCAGGATGCTACAGACCTACGTTTCTCAGAGGTGGTCACTGGGTGAAACGGGTTGGAAGATCTACAGTACCTGTGTTTCTTTAGGAATTGGAAATATGACTGAAAGTCATGTACTTAATAATCCAGTTTGAGTTCATCCAAACAGTTAGTCACTTCATCTCACCATCATATTGTAAATATCATACACAGAATTCGATTACTAGACACCGACACCAACTGCAAATCAGTCCATTTCCAGTTGACTATCGAATTGGAACTGTTAATGTTTCTTATTATACTACGTATATATTTATAGACTTTTCAGATTATTTAAAATCTTGAATTATGGATATGAAACGAATTTTAAGGAGTAATTTTATATGGTAATTCGCTTTTAAACTGGTTACTATCTTTTGAGCTTTATGTATTGGTAAATTTGATCAGTTAGCGACTTCTGTTACTTTAAAAATACCCTTATATTTTCCTGTTAACAAAGGATTTAACATACTTAATTGTCAAATAAAAGTAGTACATGCTTAAAATACTACTGATCACGAAGCAAGAAATCAATAAATTATTATATGATGAAGTAATTTAGAACAAATTGTCCAATCACATGCGTTGATGAGCAAATTAAATTTGCTTATTTAACTTGGAAATTGTCCTCTTTTATAAATATAAGACATTCTATGATCTTCTTTTGATATCTGTTTTAAACTAAAAAAGGAGTCTACTGAAAGCTCAAACGAATACGAACCTTTTCTATTCTGTGTTCTTATAAGTGAACTATTTTTTACTTGATATAAATAAAAACAAATTAGTACAATAATTACCTAACAAAATTTATATATTTTATACGAATATTCTTCAGTATTAGAACGAATGGTTTGACAAAAATTAGGCACCGAGTATAGAGAAGTAATTCTATGTGCAAAATTATATTTGAAATAATCTCAGCGATTGAAATTTAAATCATTCGAACGTTTCGTCCAGTAAACTTATCTGAACTTCTTCAGGGTAATAATCAAAATTGTAATCATTTAAGAAACATGTAGTGTTTAACAATCAAAGTGAAAGTTTTGATTATTACCCTGAAGAAGTCTACATACGTTTACTGGACGAAACGTTTGAATGATTTCAATCGCTGAGATTATTTCAAATATAATTGTCATATATAATAACAAAATATATAATTTCAATTACACAAAGGTATATGACCTACAAAGAAATATGTATACATGATATCCAAACTTCAAAAAACATACTCATGAGAAATATAATCACCAAATGTCACATTAAGAAATCATTCTCAAATTCTTAACAGATGAATTTCGACCAAGTCTGTAGTCAAGAAATTACTTATCAAAATCATTAGATAATTGTTACTCTGCATCATTAGTTAACTGAAATCAGATTCAATTGCATGATCTGCCATCTTCCACAGTAGACACTTTTGTGAAATATGCGGATGATCTCACTGTATGTATACCTATCTCTTCCTCTTTACATCCCATAGAAATGAGTGAGTTTTTGTCTCGTATTGATTGTTGGTCTGTTAGTAATGGTCTTAATCCGTCGAAATGTCAAGCTGTTAACTTTAGCATGAGACATGAACGGCATCTAAACACCACTTTAGGATCCCATAGTGCTTGTGCCATTGGAGACTCCTTGATAAACACAGTGTCGAAGGTCAATTGTCTTGGTGTTACCTTTTCTTTTGATCTGTCTTGGTCTTCTCACGTTTTATTGTTATCGAAGAAAGTTTTCCGTCTGACCTACTACATTAAGAGATTGCATGCTCTTGGGATTACTCGTCATTTACTCTTACAATTTGTCAATTCTTGCATATTACCTATTATTCTTTACTGTTCTCCATGATTCTTTACCGGGCTTTTGAGAAAAGTCTTTGCTGTATTGCGGAGAGTGCTGAAGGTAGTTAGCAAGATGTGTGGTGAATCTTTCGAGGTCATAAATAATATGGTTGTGGATAGACATCCAAAGTCATGCAAACTCATGTCAGGCGTTATCTTATCAGATACTAACCATCCTCTTCACTCATAACTTTCTCATTGTATATCTTCTGATAGAATGAGACGTAATTACATTAAAATCCATGCACACAAGGAAAAGTATAGATGTTCTGTAATACCTTACCTAGCAAATATACTCTGTGACGAACAGGTTGTTAGAGTTAACTGAGTCAATAACCTGAATTTTTAACATGTCTCTAATTTGAAAAGTTGTACAGTTTTTCGGTTTTTTTAAACCTTTTTTTCCTTTTTTGTCCTTGTTACTGTTTTTTGCGTAAGTAACTTGTTGAAATACCCTGTGCTGAGAATTCTATATTGTACCAAAATATAATATTGAATAAAACCATCAATAATAATAATTGCTGACCAAACTAAAGCGGAAAGATTGATTCACAAAAAATTCATTTGTCTGTATTATTGAAAATTTCTAGAGCAACACAAAACTCATTCATTTCTAGTATTCAATAATTCTTCAAATGAAATAAGTCCTTGAGGAATTTTATCTTCAAGACGTCAAAGATAATTCATATACTTATATAGTTTGGTTTTCCCTACATATCAACACAAATGATAAGTTAGAATTATAACACTGTTTATATTTCATTCAAGTATTTGCTTACTTCTTAACAAATTTATCATAAACTATTTAACTTAAATTATTGATTGTTGCCAAGAAAAACACAAAATTTGGTTGCATTAAAACACACATATTTGATTGATCTATCCAGTTTTTCTTTTAGAGATTATTCATTACACAAGAAGATATAGGGTAAAGTGGTCATGAAAAAAAGAGAATATTACAGATACATGATCAGTTTAGGGTATATATATATATATATATCTGATTATATATGCATATAAATTCTAAACTTCTACATTATATACAACTTTGCTTTCTTTTGAATGAAAAACATAAGTCAATAGGTAGATGCGTACAAAAGAGGTGAAACTGATGAGAAACATTTAAACAAACCGAAAATATTTAGTCTCATTATAAAAAGATATATGCTTGTTTTAAAAATCTTTGTTCTTCGAAAATATATATAGTTTTATATCCATTTCATATTATCTAACAGTAATCGTATATAAACATAAATAAATAACAGTTTAGTATGAGATCATAAAGTTGTGGTTTTTCAAAAAAAAAAAACAAAATAATCAATGTATAACACCGTAGAATATTGAAGATAATAAATAATCCATTGGAAATTTTCTTTATTCATTAACAATTATGATCTGTTATTTCAATAATCAGAAGAACAACAAATTATAGTTGAAGTTAAATACATACGGCAAAATAATGGAATGTAAAGAAGATAAAATATACTAAAGATAATGATGATGGTGATGATAATGATGTTGATGATCACGATGATGATAGAATGTAAGATGTTTTTATAGTCATATTAAAATTCAACATAACCATATGACTTATGATATTTATTACTGTTTTATGCAAGAAGCTGATATATATTATGCATGTATACAGTTGTTGTATGCTTATCTTAGAAAGAAACAATAGTTGGATTCAATTCGACAGACATGAACTCATTAATAATCTAGTCAGTATATATATCGCGGGTGTATTTCAATGTCATATATTTATTCTTTGAGACTGAAGTTGATCTGTGAATAAAAAAAAACATAAAAAAATTACACATTATAGGAATGCACAAGAAGAATGAGAATCAAAGGGAACATGCTCATATTGACAACATCATTTAATATATAATGAAAATATAAATCTGATTTATTTTGAATGGTTATAATAAATATATTTTATGTTGTAATCTAATTAGTAGAAAAGTTATATTTTTGACGTTTTGTGACTTAATTTAAGCTACTTCTTCAGAGTAAATAACTAAACAAAATTAAATTAACGCAAGTTTAAACAATACAAAGGAAATAGTGCAAAATATTTCTAGTACAATCAAAATCATAATAGATCTGAATATGTCAATGCCAAGTCATTCTTAATCAAGTTGGTCAAACATATTCAAGCTCATTATGGATAACTTGACATTGACATATTCAGA